TGGCTTTAAATCTAAACATATTGCGATGGACTGCTGACTTGATTTAATTTTCTGGTTCTTCTGATGTAATGGTCCTTGTGCATGAGACTCCACAGCTCTAATTCCCATATTACTTAGTTCAAAGCTTTTGTAGCACACTTTATAATAACTTTTGCATTTGTCTCCAGCAACTTTAAAGATAATCTTGCAGAGTGACTAATGCTGCCTCCAGGCCATGGCGCGACCTAAACCCAGACTGGAATGGATCCAGGGGTCAGTCTTCTCCAGAAGTAACAGTAGCTGGTCGGCCACCATCCTCTCCAATAGCTTGAACATAAGAGGAGCCCTGCTGGATCAGGCCAAGGGCTCATATAGTCCAGCTTCCTGCATCTCACAGTGGCCCCATCAGATGCTTCTGGGAGCACACGAGACAACTAGATACCTGTCTTCTGATAACCCTCCCATGCATCTGGCATTTTGAAGGACCTTCCTTTTAAACCTGTAGATTTATGGCTTGTAACCAACACTCAATTGGAGTGGATATCTCCTAGCTCTGGTATTGCGCGAGAGGCCCTTTATCCACCCCCTGCATCATTTTAGATGTCTCCATCATGCCCCCCCCCCACAAGGCACCTTTTCTCTAGACTCAAGAGCCCCCAATGCTGTAGCCTTTCCTCAGAAGGGAGGTGCCTCAGCCCCGTCACCCTTTGAGTCACTCTCTTCTGCACCTTCTCACAATGTTTTGGGGTTTTTTTGAGGTGCGGCAACCTGAACTATATGCAATACTTCAGGTGCGACCTTACCAGCGTTTTGTACAATGGCGTTATAACGTTGGCTGTTTTATTTACAGTCCCTTTTAACGACACCTAGCAGACTGGGTTGACACTTTCATCGAGCTATCCACCAGCACACCAAGATCTCTTTCCTGATCTGTCATGGACAGCTCAGAACCCATCAGCTGATAAAGTTTTGATTTTTTTGCACCAGTGTGCATTACTTTACATTTTCTTATATTGAAACACATTTGCCATTTTGCCATCCATTCTCTCAGTTTGGAGAGATCCTTCTGGAACTCTTCGCCAACTGGAAAAGTTTCGTGTCATCTGAAAACTTGGCCACCTCACTGCTTATCCCTGCCTCCAGGTCATTTATGAACAGGTTGAAAAGCACTAGTTCCAGGACAGATTCCTGGGGCACACTGTTCTTCACCTCTCTCCATTGTGAAAAATGCCCATTGACACCTACTCTGTTTCCTGGTTCTCAACCAATTCTCAATCCATAAGAGGACTGCATCTTATTCACTGACTGTGGAGTTTTCTCAGCACTGGATTCTGGTATCCCATTGGTTCTCCAAATTCCACCAGGTTTCCGTTATGGCCACTATGTCAATGTTATCCCTAGCCACCAAATGCTCCAGCTCTCTCATCTTTGCTCAGCCACTTCAGGTATTTGCATAAAAGCACCTGGATACAGGGTCACCCAAGAAGGGTCGCTTGTTTATTTGCACAGCTTCTCCTTCCAGTGGACCAACTGTCACATCACACTCCCAGTCGTATCATCACTTTGTGGTTCACTAATCTCTCCACCCTCATTCCATAAGGATGCAGAGTCTGGAACCCAACACCCCTTGGCTCCTGTTGGCTTTCCTCCTGGATTCAGTTTAAAAGTTGCTCTTCCACCTTTCTAATGTTCCGCACCAGCAGTCTGGTTCTGTGTTCATTCAAGTGAAGCCTATCCCTCTTGTACAAGCCCGGCTTGTTTCAAAATGTTTCCCAGTGCCTAATGAATCTAAACCCCTCTCCCTGACACCACCATCTCATCCACACATTGAGACTCCTTGCTTAGAAAAGGCTCATCCATCCATCCAGTTTACAACAATCACAAGACATAAGAACAATATAATCAAACACATTAAGTTAATTAAATAAATTAAACAAATTTTCTCTTCATTCTTGATTAACATTTGGGACACAACTAGAGAAGCACCATGCTTGGAGCTGCCAACTGCTAAGAAGCTAAGGAGCAGAACTGTGAGGCAGTAATACTCCCTTCTTACCATTACACACTTTTTCCTTTTAAAGCAAGACATTCAACCCAAAACCTGCATGTTACATGAACAGATTAAACACATGAATGAAGGCTTCCTTTTCTCTTCAGTCAGCTGCTCTGATAAAACCTTCATATCCCTTGTTCCTCGGGCTCTGGGTGGGCCACATCACTTTCTGTGGCCATGCACCCACCCACCTACCCCATTCAAATTAGCTATTTGATGCAAACAGGCCACCAAGACCCTGGGATGACAGTCATAAGGACTGTCAATTAGAACTTGTTAGCCATAGACTATCTACCAGTCAAGCAAGAAAATGAATGAAAAAATGATACAGGCTTAAAATGAGTAGATTATGAAACTGCAGAGGTCCATTGTTGTTTCTTAAGTTCAACAGGTAACTGACAATTTACATGCAATACTACTGTCCAATACAAATCTATAAAGAGGTCTGATGCATTGCTGCACTTTTAGATGCTTTCATATATACTTTAAATTTTCAGTTATTAAACTTATAAACAAAGGGAAGCTAAGCTACAAGTATACATACCTCTGTGGGAACATCTATGTCTGTGTCATCACTTAAGGACTGTGAATCTTCAAAGTCATCAGAACATGTAACTTCATTTACCTACAGGGAGTACACAGAAAGGATATATATATTTCTTAGAATTATAGAGGATCCTGCAGTTTTGCTGCCAACATGTTGATGAAGTGTCTCTTTTTCTCAAATTCTATTTGTTCCCATATTTAAGCAAACTGTAAATCACACTGTATGTCATACCATTTTATATGACAGTTACAAATGCATGTTTTCCAGTGTAGTATGCAACATGCATGTGCCAAAAAGCTACATCTGCACACACAGGAAAAACAAACACACTGTTGTTGGAAGCATCTATTAACTGTCCTCATATTTTTCCTACACGGATATACTTTCTCTTAGGCCTCAAACACCTACACAATGTAATAAACAAGCATACCTGCCCACGATTTTGGAAATAGCTTAACATCAGTAGCATGATCTGTTTGATTTCAGCATATACATAATGAACAATCACTTTAATCCTTGTGATGTATTATCACATTGTTTTCAATTTATGACAACTCTATACAGTATATTAATAACTTCTGAAAGATTCTGTTACTAACAACCCTACTCAGGTAATGCACATTCCTTTGTAAAGCTGATCCATTTCATGTTAGGTCTTCCTACTGCCTTCTATTTTTCCTAATTGTATTGCCTTTTTCTAGTTCAGGAAAAAGCCACATGGTTGTATGAAAAATCAGGAAAAGGCCACATGGTTGTATAAATAATACAAATGCAGGAACAGGTAATATCTTTAATCAATCATTAAAACATTTTTTAAAATCTCGCTATTTGTTTTTTGTTTTATATTCTTAATGGTTGATTAAGGCTTCACCTGTTCCTGCATTTGTATCCAGTGAGTCTTATCTTCTCATGACATGTCCCAAGTATGAGAGTTTGTACTGGCTTCCATTGAGGGACCTGATTTGATGTGGAATCCACTTGTCTGGCTTTCTGGTGATCCACAGATTCCGTAAACCTCACTTCCCAAACCACATTCCAAATAAATGTTTCTTTCCCTATCATCATTCACATGCATATAGTAATCAGGAATATATTATGGATTATCTTTCATCTCAAGTAATTGATGCATACACTTAAAATATTTCTTCTAGATCCTTTGCAGTTGTCCTTTGAAATCTCGCTCTTCCAATTTTTTCATGCATTTTTTTTCACACAAACACATTATCTTCTTAATGCTGAACAATAAAGACTAAACGACTAAACACACACAACACGCTGAACAGTAATCCTGGCTTTGCACTTTATTCTTTAACCTTCAAGTAGCACTCAAATCATTGTTTTCTGCCAGTATAACAGTATTGGCTGCATCTCTTAAATTGCTGATGTTTCTTTCACCAACTTTCATCTAACTCTGCTTTTGGTATTGAATGTTGTACATGTTCATTAAACAGATTAAGGAGGGAAGAGAGAAAATACACTACTGGCTGACATTCTGCCTACTGGAAGAATGTTTCTCCGCATTCTGTTCTAACAGGAGCCTTTTGTAGTATACTCCCATTTCTTTTAGAACAATTCAGTTTTTCATGATCCACAAACAAAGGCTTTACTGTAATCTATAGATACAAACTGAGTTTCTTCTGAATTGTTTTAGCATCTATCAGTAGCCAATATATATTGCAAATGAATATATTCTTCCTCAGAAGAACCCCACATTTCCCTTACGCCCAGCACAAGAGCAGCTTTTCTATAGTGATAACCTTATGCATTGTTTTTTAGCATACAGCGGTGCTCATATTTTGCCCAATTTTAAAGCATATTATATGCTGTACAAAGCATACCATGCAACATGTCTAATTGTTAAAATCCATTTACAAGCAGCTAGGTGAAGAGGGAAGAAACTGTGCAATCTATTCAAGTTTTTCTTGCTAGAAATCCTAGTCAATCAGTTGGAATGTGACATTAATTCCTGATAATTATTACAATAGAAGAGGTTTTGTGTGACCACTAAAATAATTTACAGAGGAGATTGTCATTTGTCGCGTGACATAATTCCAAGGCACAGATAATTAGAGATGGACATGAGCAGCCAAAATGGTGGTTCATCTTGGTTCATGGGGTTAGACAACCCGTGGGGCTGTCTTAAAAAAAAAAAAAAGCTGAGCCCTCCGCCCCCTCTCCAATGGTCCCATCACATCCCTACCTTCTCCTGCTGCCTCTGCCAGAACTGAGACTAGGTTGCCAGAACA